AGCCGATAAGCACGCCGTTTTGGAGGTGGAGGGCACACAGCCCTGACCCACAGCTCAGTTCCAGATGCCGGGGATCGCGAAACGGATCCAATCACTACAATAAAACCGCCACGGAAACATGTTCCCGAGGCGGGTATGGCTGTGCCTGGGCAGGGGCCGCGGGGCCGCAGCGGGAGAGGTTGGAGCGGAACGGGGGCCGCCGGAGACAGAAGAGCCAGGCCGGTTACGTAAGCCCGGCCCGAAACGGGCTGCGGTCATCCGGCACGCCCGCCCCACGGCTCGTCCCCCGCGACCATTTCCAGTCCATTCCAAGCCGGAGCCGCCCGGAAGCGGGGGGCGGTGTGGGGGGGGTGTCACGAGAAGCGAGGCAAGGGCGCGGAGACACCCGCGGGGAGGCGCTGGGCGAGGACTCCCCGGCGCCAACTACATTGCCCAGAATTCCGTGAGGCTGCGACGACTCGCTCCGCGAGCGCGGCTGGAAGACCCGCGGCGTGGAATTGGTCGTCGGCATCCACCGGCCGCGCCAAATGGGGCTGCGGTGGGGAGATCCAGCAGGATTGGCGGACGCGCGCTCCGGCCCCGCCCACAGGCGGTGACGACAGGCGGCGGTCCGGCTACTTAAGGCGTCGTGGCCTCGCCTGCCCCGCCTTAGCTCCCGCGCTAGAGAGAAACATGTATCGTTTCCGATCACAGCTCTTCACGGGGATTTCTGCTGCCGCCGTCGCCCGCGCTCACCCCCGCCGCTCCTCGCCTCTGTTGTTAGTCGAAGCCTCGCCTCTCAGCCGCCCGCCGCACAGACCCACGAGTAAAAAGTGCAGCTCCATCGGCTGATCCTCGCTAAGCTCCGAGTCTAGGCGGCACCGGGCGTCCCACGATGCCGAAGAATAAGAAGCGGAACACACCCCACCGCGGTGGCAGTGGTGGCGGCGGCGGCTCAGGGGCAGCTGCAGCGACGGCGGCGACAGCAGGTAAGGGGGTCTCCCCGCCGCCGGTATACCGGCTGCCGGCCGGCCGGGCGAGCGAGCCTTTCAGCCCTGAGCACCGCGGGAGTTGTAGTCCTTTCCCTCCAGACATTTGCGTCGGCGGGGCGCCGGGCCGGGCTGGCGGACTACAATTCCCGGCGTGCTCCGCGGGCCGTACCTCGCGCGATTTGGAACTGGCATGCGACCCGAACTCTTGGGCACTGGCCGTGGGGGCGGGGAGGGGGCAAATGGGTCCTTGGGCCTGAGAGCGGCTGGGGGCCAAGGGTGACGCGGCGCTGGGCGGCAGGGGAACCGTCCTCGGAGGCCGGCGCCTGCTCTAGAGCGCTTCCAGACGGAGGGTGGGGCCGAGCTCGGAGTTGTGTCCGTGCTGTCAGCGGTCGCTTTTGAACCCCCAGCTCCAACATGGGAGTTCGCGGGAATGCCAAACGTCTGCCGGGTTTGGACTCTGGTGTCACGCGGCCTGGGCCTTGCGCCGTGGGGCCGGAGTGACGCAGAGGCGCCCATGTGGCATCCCATTCCGCTCCCTCCTTGCGCGTCCCGCGTGCCCTGGTGGCCGGGCGGAGGCAGGGGGCCACTGCCCCAGCCTAGGCTTCGCGCCCACCCCTAACCGGCACATGCTGAAATCCCGAGCCCCCAGCTCCCCTGTGACCAGTGGAGGCGACCTCCCCACTCGCCGGGGCAGAAGCCACGTTCTCGCCTTTGTGCTGCTCTCCATATGCGCGCTCCTCTGAGCCCCGGCGAGGAGGTGGTGGGGAGCTCAGGTTGCAGCGGGCCGAAAGTTCAGGGGTTTTGTCTCCTCGCTACAAAGGTGAAGCATTTCCAGGATGGGTAGGTGCTTAACTGAATTAAGGACTCTCTATTACTAACTACGCGGTTAAGAAAAAAAGAACTTCAAGGGGAAAGCCCCAGGAGACACCACGCCAAACTCAGACCGAGTATTAAAGTAAGCCGGGTAAAGTCATCTCATCTAGTAATTGAGATTTTGAGGTTAAGTATTGGGATAGCCTCAGCCAGACGTTATCACATCTGAATTAACTACTACTGGCTACTAGGCATTGGTCAACACAGTTGCCACTCGGATCCTCGGAATGATAATGCTTTTGTTCGTTAGAACGCAGAGACCAGTTTTCTTGTTAAAGATGTTTGGAAGCTGGCAGTTTAAAAGCTTTCCTATAGGATTTCTAGCAGAACGAAAACTTGTGATCATGTATTTAAACATTTAATTATTGGCTGTAGGAGTGGATTACTATAAGTGCAGTTTCTTCCCTTTGTACCTATCTTTGTTTTGATTGAATGCTCTTGATGTTCATGAGATTCATGATCATCAAGACCTAAAATACATAATTTGTTGCGGTATCTAGTTGTTCTGTGTGAATTGAGGATTTCTCTTTACCTTTTTCTGTGCTTCAGCTTTTCATCTAAAGTAAACATTTGTACATTTGTATTCTGTCTAGAAGGTCCTTACTAATTTTATTCTTTAAATATAACTTCTGTTAACGAAACAAATAAGAAGCAGTAAGCTAAAGCCATTTTGAAAAATGTAATGATGTTGCTAGTGGCCCCTGAATCACACACCTTTATTCCCTTCCGATCCTGTTGAGCCTCCTTCCTTCCTAGTGACAGAATAACCTCAGGTGGCAGTGGGGGGTGGTCTCCCAAATTTGACCTTGAGGCCCGTTTCTGACCTTTCATGAGCCTTATTGCTACTGCTTTTTGGATTATTTTCAGTAGAAAAGCTGCATGTAAACACTGTATTTTGGCATGTATGTAACAAATTGGAAAAGAAGTCTTTGATAAGTTTATAAAACTGTACATGCTTTGAATACCTTTGGAAGTTTACATTAGAACTTGGCTAACTACTTGCCTCTGGAAAATGGAGAATGGGGTGAGATTTGCTTTTTTGAAACCTTAATTTGGTTCCATGTGAATGTACTCCTTATTCAATAAATAAATAATAGCTGAGTAGAAGAGATGAAAAATTGTCAGACACTTGTACTTAAAAGCCACTTACCTTATTGGTCTTTTAAAATGACATCTAAAAGAAATGGGATTCAAATGCGATCTTCACATGTACAGCCAAAAGATAACCAACTTCTATTTCTTTAATGGGTTTTACATTTAAATTATTCTTTTTAAGTTAATGGGTGGTTCATGGAAGCTAATGAAATTGACCTCTTATAGAAGCTTGAGTACTTGTCATGGCGCTTTGAAGAGAGCGTTTTTCGGGAAGAACAAAACCTTGTTAGTAAGTAAGCCCTCTGAGAAATAAGGACCTTGTGTCTGGAGTTCCACCTCATTAGTGGTACCTTGGGTCACAAGGTGGGTGGGTTTGACTTTGCTGTCAGACATTCATACTGCGTTCTTTTTCGTAATTTTTTTTTTTAATCTCTCTTTCCTGTGAGTCTTGGGAAATGATTGAAATTTAGAGAAGGGAACTGGGGAAAACCTACATAGGAATACTCTTCTTAACAGTTTAGAAATAAGCTGAAGATGAAAAGTGAAAATTGTAAATCGATTGGTGAATAAACATTAGTAAAAGTTAATCAGATTACTCAACTAAATTGCCATGACTTCAAATCATGAAAACAAATGAAAATAGATCCAGAAATAGAGTATGATGTCATAGGTCTTTGTTTATTTGTTCACTCCCATCCTAAGCACTCCGATTAAGAAGTTTTGGGATCTTGGCTCATTGCTTATCCTTTATTTTTGACTATTTAAATTGGCACAGTTACTTCATTCTCTTTAGGATAACAAGCAAATTTGAAGGCTGCTTGTTTCTTTTGTTGATTTAAAAATCTGCTAAATTCTCTTCTCTGTTTGGACTTTTATAAAAAAAAAGGACAACCCTCATTAAAAAAAAAAGCAACAGGTATAAACTTAGAGGATTTTAAAAAAACTTTTGATAGTAAATGTCACAAATTTCTTGAACATAGGGACCTGGTGATATTTGGTGCAAATTTCGATTTTACTAATAAGAAACTTGGGTTCAGAGGTAAATCAGGTGACTCAAGGTCACTTTTGGGGCAGAATTTAGGACTTATTTTAATTCATTGCTCAATGTAATTCATGACTGGGCAATCCTGTTATTAATATGAAATTCCTGCTAAAAACAGTGACTAGAAATCACAGTGACCAAAAATATGGATTTATTACTTAGCTTAATGAAGTTGAGAGAAAGAGTAGTTTAAAAAAGATTTTATTTTTTAGTAACAGCACTGATATTTTTAAACTATTGGAAATGTTAGAACCTTTCTTTTTAAAGGTAATTTATTAGGCTTTTATGCTTTATCAAATACCAAAACTTTTATTTTAAGACTTTTTTCCTTTCAATTCAATTCATCTTTAAAACTACCATCCTGGAATTCCTCAAATTCCTCTTCACATAATAAATGTATAACATAAAAACTAACCCATTCACTGGTTAATGTTTACTAAGCCCAGTCATTTTCTTTGGAAAATATATTTGTCTTATTCTTATGATTATTTGTGACATCCTCCTTTATTTGTGGATCTCTTTTCATTGTCTTCAAGATTTGAAGTCATGGTTTGGAAGTAGTTTTTTCATCTGTAATACAGTTTTTGTAAACTGGTGCTGACTGTTACATGATCAGTGTATTTCTGAAGTTGGTATATATTGTAAATTGTTGGTGCTGTGAAATACATATTAGGTGAATTGACTTCTTTTAGAAGTATTGAAGTGTGTTCTTTTGTATTATAATCATCTGTTTTCTTAAATAAGTTAGGGTTTTTATTACTATTTCTCAAGTAAATTTTAAAATTCGCAAGTTAAATATTTGCATATATGGCAACAGAATTGTTTACCTCCATCTTCTTTTAATAAATAGGTGGCCAGCATCGCAGTGTTCAGCCGTTTAGTGATGAGGACGCTTCCATTGAAACAATGAGCCACTGCAGTGGGTACAGCGATCCCTCCAGTTTTGCTGAAGATGGTATGTGTTTTAAATTTCAGTTTGCAGCTTTAAATAAAAAGATGTTTTAGGTGGCGGAATTCTTGTAGCTAAGGTATAGTAGTGATGCTCCCTATCTGCTTTTTTTCTACTTAAATTACAGTGGTTGGTTGGTTTATATTATTCTTTAGGACCGGAAGTTCTTGATGAGGAAGCAACTCAAGAAGACTTGGAATACAAGTTGAAGGGATTCATTGACCTGACCCTGGATAAGAGGTAGGAAATACTAGAAGCTCTTCCTTCTGGGTTATTCTGTCAGCCACCTTGTCTATATAACACGTGCAATTCTCCAATTTAACAGTATGTTTTTCTAAAGCTTGCTTTGTTTTCTTTGGATGTTTTAATGTTTCTTGTTTCTTTGGACTTCTAATGTGGATAGAAACGTGCTATAGAATTTAGATTAATTGACTTAGATTAATCATTGTTCTAGCATTAAAACATATTGCTGTATTTGCTTAGAACTGAGATAGATTTGTTGAATTAAAAGTTAATCTTCAACTAGAAAGGACAACTAAACTTTGCCTTAAGCCTCTTGTTTACTGATTTTATTATAGGCATGAAAAATATCAAAGCTAAATTGTTTTCTTATTTTCCATTATCTCTAGAACTGACTTAAAACAAATGGAATTAAAAAGCCCAGAAGCTGCAAATATGAAGTCTAGACTTTTGTAGTGTTAAAAATAAAAAGTGTGAATTTACACATGTAACATAGGAGAACATGTCTTGTACGCTGAAGCTAGAAAATGCCATGTAGTCATTTAAATTTGTGGTTATTAAACTAATAAACAGAAAGATGTGGTGATATAAAGCAGCTTAGAACCTTTTGTGTAATAAGGTGAGTTGTAGATGAAAATTATATTATTGAAAAATGTGTAGAGCTTGATGACAGATTTAAAAAATCTATACACAGAAAATATTGAGAGGGGAACTAAGCTGTTTTTAAAGGTCATTGGTGGTACACTCTAACTGGATCTTCTTTTTCTTACATTTTGTTTTAAATAGTGCAAAGACAAGACAGGCCGCTCTTGAAAGTATTAAAAATGCACTGGCTTCAAAAATGCTTTATGAATTCATTCTGGAAAGAAGAATGACTTTAACTGACAGCATTGAACGCTGCCTGAAAAAAGGTAATATCCTTATTTTTGAGTTACAGGCACAGAACTAAAAAAGAATTTGCTCCCTTTTTTGCAATAAGATTGGCTCACTCTTATAACTGTCATTGTCAAGGAATAGCTCTTGTTAAAACTCAAAATCAGACTTGTTAGAAGCTTTGTTTTTGTTCGTGTCATAAGCGGCTTGAAACTAGGAATAGCATTGGTGTGATTGTCGTCCTTTGTTGCATCAGAAAGGTGATTTCCATTCTCAGGTGTATAGGAAAGGCTTGAGAGCTTGTGACAGATGCCAACAAAAAGTATTCTTCAAAAAGCCACCCTACTTCATTTTTCTAAAATTGAAAAGGTATAATTATCTAGCTCATTTTCCCTCGTACTTATTTAAAACGTCAGTTGTACCTGTGGATGACATCATTTTCAGGATATCCTTTGGAATATTTAAATTCTAGAACTTTGTAGTAGAGATTCTGGAATTCATATTGTCACAAACGTAGAACTTTTAAGAATAAAGAAAGGCCTTAAAGATTAAGGTACTAATTAAGGTATTACCAGAACCACTGAAATTAGGAAGATTTGGGACTGCCACCTTAATTATTTTGCCAAGGAAAAAACCATGCAAATAATTATCTTCTACCCTCATTATCACTTTATTAACAAAATATATCTAGCACCAAAAATGTAGGAAGCACACCCACCATTCCTTTAGATTGAATGAGATTAGCTTTGTGTCTCTAATTACTCTCATTCATGAAGCTTTGTCATGAATGCTGTTGGGACGCTTTTCACTCAGCTCATCTCTCTGGTTATACAGAATAAGAAAATTCAGGGACGCAGACCAGCCTGAGGTTATATTCCAGTGGCTTTCTAAAGGTATTTACATTGAAACTGTCGCATAAGGTAGTTGGACGAGGACGCCTTTAAAAATTCCATTCCAACCTGCAGATTTTATAAAATTTTAATTTATCAGGTAACAACTTAAGTTCAAAATTTTCCAAAATGCATCTGTGTATACAGTTGTCAAGAGTTAATTTACATTTACCTTCATAATTAATATGTTTTCTGTGGGGCTAAAGAGTCTTCTATCTTTGATCGCTTATTTAAAACAGTTGGTGTGGGGCGGGGCTGGAGGTTTAGTTTACCCCATGGGCTGTGTACACCTGAAGGGCCTTGGGAGGGTAATTCGGGGGCTGCTGGAGCACTCTGACCCCAGGGAGGATTTGGGAGGTCACGTCGGCCTAAAACACATGATTTTGCTGAACTGTCCCAGTGCTCCCTTAAGATGGTGTTAGCCTCCATTTTCCAGGAGAGGAAACCTGTTTTGAGCACACGAGGAATTAGCTGGAGAGAGAGCACGGGGCTGGTGAGCGGCCGACCTAGGATTGAGAGAGGTCTTCCCAGAGCTCGGGCCCTTTAACCTCACTAGGCTTGTGGCTCATGCCAAGGCCTGGAGCATATACGCCTATCTTACGGGTTTCATAAGTGGTAGGACATAGTCTGCTGAGAACACTTGGTCATGGCTGCACCTGGCTTCTCTTCCAGGTAAAGGTGACGAGCGGCGTGCGGCGGCGGCATTAGCGTCCGTTCTGTGCATTCAGCTGGGTCCTGGCATCGAAAGTGAAGAGGTTCTAAAAACTCTCGGACCAATTCTGAAGAAAATAATTTGTGACAGCACAGCTAGTATCCAGGCCAGGCAGACTGTAAGTGTCACACTTTGAATTTATTGACCTGTCTAGCCGTGACACCCTGGGCACGTGAATGGTGGCGTGAAAGACTGTAGTGCTAGTGGTGCTTGGATCAGCGTGAGGGAGTTTCGGTGACGTCACGTGATATACTGGAGTCTCACAAACTTCAAGTTCTGTTTGTATATGATTGATTTGTTAGAGCGGTGTTCTGAAAGTTGATGGCTCCTGTGTATGTTGCAGGCAGATTGTGCATAAATATTGTATTCTGAGTCATTTATTGGGGACGCTGGACCTTGGTAATCTTGTCGTGTCCTCAGTTGTTTAGCTCCTTTTTCCCTAACAAAAGGCATTCCTAGCCTGGTTTCAATATTCCAAAGGAAGTGCAAGCTGAATTAATGAGACCCTTCTCTAAGTGGGAAGCTTGAGGACAGTTATTTAAATTTTATGAGATTTCTGCTCCTGTTTGCTTATTTTTTGGAAGCTAATTTTTTTTAGAAGTTTTCATAGTAGAGTCTACATTAAAACAAATAAATATAAATGATTCTAAAAGGTTAAAAACCTGCAGCTAACTTAATGTTTTAAAGGTTTCTAGTAGGGAAAGTAGGTTTCTTTATTTCAGATACCCAAACTTCATCTGTCTGGAGTTGTTTGAAATGAATGAAGGAGAACCCGAGAAAGACGGAATACGTTTCCTAAAGTCGTACTTTGAGTTTGGTAGCAGAGCTGGGGCCGAAACCCACCGCCCTTACCTCTTGATCCTGGAGTCTCTCTTTCGCTCTCTCTAATACTGTGCTTGGGACTTAATATAGTCACGGAGCTGAGAAAATTTTCACATTGAATTATAAAAGCAGGAAGATAGAGAATTTGTAGGAAAATGATAAACATTAATGACTGTATCATCTTTCTGCCCTTTAGTGTGCAACTTGCTTTGGTGTTTGCTGTTTTATTGCCACAGATGACATTACAGTGAGTAGAAAACCTTTTGACTCCATTTACCTTCCCATTTCCAACTTAAGATGGTGATCTTACATCCTATCCTTGTGCCTTAAAAAATAGGAGCTGTACTCGACTCTGGAATGCTTGGAAAATATCTTCACAAAGTCCTATCTCAAGGAGAAAGACACCCCTGCTGTTGGCAGCACCCCCAGCACAGCGCTTCACATCAGCGCCCTTCTCGCGTGGACCCTGTTACTAACCATATGCCCCATCAGCGAGCTGAAGAAAAAGCTTGAGATGTATGTGTTTTTAGTTTCATATCTTATAAAACCATTTGTTGACCTAATTGTTTGTGTTCACACAGTAATGACTATTTTCTAGGCATTTCCATAAACTGCCAAGCCTGCTGTCTTCTGATGATGTAAACATGAGAATAGCTGCTGGCGAATCTTTGGCACTTCTGTTTGAATTGGCCAGAGGAATGGAGAGTGTGAGTATCTGACGCGTAGGGGAAAAACTTTTGTCACAGGGACTGTGAGCATGTCCTCACAGTTAAGAATTGGACGGTAACATTGGTGCATGGCCAGTTGGAGAACCTAGTGGTTGATTGTCAGCTTCTTGACAGTGGTGACATACACTTTCAAGAACATAAGCTACTAAATAGAGGTTGGTAGAGCAGCATGTGTACGAAGTTCGTTGCCTTTAATTGTTGCTATCTGTAGAACCGGTGTTTAGGGGCACGCTCCGCTCCTCATGGAGAGAGTTGTGTCTGGTATAATCTGTGGGTCTGCTTGGATTTTTTTAGACATGGAGCACATGAAGGTAATTCAGGCATGGATGCTTTATAATTAATGTCGGGCAAATGGATGAAGTACTAAGTCCGTGTACATTTGGGATCAGATGAGTTTAGTCGCTGTTGTATAACCTCTATAAGCCAAGGATGGAGACAAACAGGGCCCTTTAGACTGGGGTCCGTGCTTTGAAGTTCCCTCCCACAGTCCACTCGTGGATGTTCATTCCCACAGTTTGGCTCTCGAAGGTGTTTCAGTTTGCGATAGGTGTTTCCGGGTTAGCACTGAAAGTCCTGTGCTCTGGGAAACCCCGTGTCTCAGTCTGGCTGGGCCATTGGTCACCCTGAGTGGTGATCCCTGTTCTGAACTGTGGGTTACTTCCTAGGTGC